CGTTCTCTCCATCAAACTCATCAATCCCGTTGAAATCGTCTCTTTCACTCTTCGACTCGTCGGCACGCTCATGATCCGAGCGTACATCGTATTCCGGATTTTCTATACTAGTAGTGGTGCTTCCACCTTCTTGTTCTGTATCTGGCTGAATTGCTTGACCTGCTTGAGTCGACGGTTGAGAGCTGAAGTACGCGGAGGGAAACTCGAAGGAGGAGTTGGAGGAGTAGGCGTCACCTCCAAAGTTGGTGCCGCTTGTTCTTCCGCTGGCAGCACTTCTTCAACCGGCGCACGACGGCGGGCCAACTCATACGCCGCATTCTTTCCCATGGGGATCCTTGCTGGGAGTGATGACAAAGGTGAGAGCTCCAGCAGCCCCTGACGACGTCCAAATGTCATGAGTTCTTGTTCGCCTGCACATATCTTTCAGTACTGTGAGTATATATACCGAGCTGTCTGCAGAACGTACCAACGAAGTATTTAACTCCGCGCTTCCCTGCATCCAAGCGGCCAGTCACACTGGGCATCACGTACGTGAAGTCCGCACTCAGTCCTTTAGGCTTCCTCGCTTTCCATCCTGCCTTGGATAGCTCGCGCCATAACTGCTTGAACGGTTTCTCGTTGGGAGCGTTCATTCTCGAATAAATCTGAAATCTGTGGTCACCAACAACTGCCGAAAATTGAAACTGAATTTTCAATGAGAGTGTGTCGTGCGCCCAACTCGGGCGAATAAAAGAGACGCTCGGTTTTTCACCTACCCCACAATCTATCCGGCCAGAGTATAGCGTATACTCCGGTGTGTACCCGCCACCCTGCCACTCATTTCATTCAAAGGGGGGGGGGGGCAAATGCCGGAAGATCGTCGGGTGAAGACTGCGGTGAGACGTGCCCAGTGCCGCAACTTGTGTGTCGAGACCGACGCCGACGCCGACGAGGTGTCTGCTGCGTCAACGGGAGCGCTCAGCGACGAGGAATGGGTGGATTCCGCCACGGATACTGGCAGCAGCACGAGCGGTCAGTCCAAGCAGGGCCGATCTGGGGGGATGGATCATCCACGCCGCCTTTAAGACGACAATGAAGACGCCCAAGGACTGGAGGTGCTCATTGCCCCGGTAGAGCGTTTTGAGTTTGACTCATGGGAGGATTTAAAGAGCTACTTGGCCGAGTACACCAAGGGGACACACCAGGTACAATAGTGCTATACTTTCTATTCATTAGGCATTTCTTACCTGACTGTTGTATTTTGTTGAATCCGTAGAGCTTCCGTATCCGCACGAAGAACACAGTGACTGCACGCAATGCCAAGATTCGCTCAACGGGGTCAATGAAGCCGTTGTTGCCGGACGAGTGGGTGAACTACGGCAAGACCTACATATGTACACACTCAGGGACGTACAAGTCGAGGGGGAAGGGGGAGAGGAAGCGTCTGCAGCCGCGGGCTATGGAGTGTGAGGCGCAGGTACGCTTGCACCTCAGCTGGTCTTAGTTGGGTTCAGTTGGGCTCGGTTGGGCAATAGCACCACGAGCTGGGGGTGAGTTGGGTCGAGTTGGGACTAACTGTGTACGAGGTTCTGTGATTTCTTACTGCAGATCAATGCGTGTGTCCAAGTCGACGACGCTAAGGTCCCGACATTCATCTTGAGAATCACTTCCGCACGATTAGTACACAATCACCCTGTGAACAAGCTGACGTACAACCAGTTTCCACACGTGCGAGCCGCGTCGGCGTCGGATCTTGTGGGTACAGTTAATGAGCTTCGGAAGGCCGAAACAAAGAAGAAGCGTATTCTGAAGTACATTCACGACAACACCCACCTGAACCCGTCAACGCAAGACGTGTCTAATCTGATCCGAAGATTGAAAGCCAAGGAGAACACGGCCTTGACCAGCGCCACACGGCTGAAGAAATGGATGAAGGAGTTCGCAGAGGAGTCTGGTAATGTTGGTAGGATCGTTGTGGATTCAGTGGGAGAAAAGGTATGAATTCGTTCATGTTTGCTACGCCATGTTTTGCTAGGTTCTAACGTTTTACATGTCGTATACGGTTGCAACTTGCATTACATTGCAGAGTAGACATATGCGTGAGCTCTTTGACCGGTTTCCCGAGGTCTTGATGATTGACGCCACCCATGGCACCAATGCGTCCAAGTATAAGGTTTTCTCACTTATGGCACATGACGCCTTTGGGAAAGGACAGTTCGTTCAACACGCAGTCATCCAAAACGAGCGGCGTCCGACTCTAATGACGGCATTGGAGGAGTTCAAGCGTAACAACCCAAGTTGGAGCAAGATCAAGTGCGTCTTAATCGACAAAGATTTCACGGAGATGTCAGTACTCAAGATGGTATTTCCGGATGCCATTCTAATACTCTGTCAGTTTCATGTCTTGAAATATTTTCGGGAAGAGATAGAAAGCGCAAACTACAGATTTACGACTTGGCAGAAGCACCAGTTGAATGGGGTCGTGAACTTGTTGGTGTACGCGCAGAATGAGCAGAAAACCCTGACGTATCGTAAGCACATGAGGCGCATCGTGGCTATGGGACGCGGTGACGAAGCTCTCCGAACAGGATCGGGAACTTGTTTGACTGGGTTGGGCACTTGTAGGTACGAGTTGGGTGAAGTTGGTACTGGGTTGGGAGCTGGAATTCATTTGGGCGTGGGTACTGGAGAACTGGGGGATACAGCTAAGGACGACAACTCTACGTTTTCAATGCACCCGTTTGAAGGGTATTTCGTGAAAAATTGGGACTCTTGTCGGACTATGTGGTGTTCTTTCGTGCGGCAAAATGCGGTTACTTTGGGGAACAATACAAATAACCGAATCAAAGCCTCTTGGAAGCAGCTGAAGTAACTTGTTTATTCGTGTATGGGGGTTGACGAGTGTGCTGCATCTATCATGTGCTACCAACTGCATGAAGAGACGAGGTTTTTTGGATGCCGTACACAAGCTGACTGTCGTGCACAACCCAAAGTACGATAAGGAAATGAGGTTCGTCGCTCAAGTGGTCAGTGAAGACGTATGTGAGCTCATTTACGAGCAGTACGAGTATGCAATTACGGGAGCCAAGTACAAGTACTACGAGCCGGTGCCCGATATGGCATTCGAGATGTTTTGTGGTGCTGAACCACTTGAATACTTGGACAAGAAGACACTGCAATGCCTTCGCTACCGGTACCTTCGTAAGAGTATGGAAGAATAAACGAGAGATAGTTTATTGGATCAATTGGCTCAATACATAAGTTCATCCTAAGTGCGTGTCTGTTATCATAAGACTCTTCTTCTTGGGTAGATTGTGCAAGTTATTTTGATTGACTGAGTCCTGCAGGGAGATCTCACACCAGGGTGCGGCACCACACATCATGCAGACTATAAACTGCAGAAAAGTACGTTTTTGACATCCGGATATACGTCTTATGCGTATAGTTTCCGAGCTGGCTTCTTATAAATGGACACCCAACTGGGCTCCGTAAGGGCACGGTATGGGCACTACTGAGCGCTAGATGGGCGTAGGTGGGCTCTGTTGGTTGCAGGAGGCTCGTCTCAGATTTTTGAGCTGAACGTAGGAACAGGTGCCATTTTCAAAACATCCAGTTATCTTTTACTGTCTTTTCTATTCAGCTTGAATTATCCCCGGCTATCTCCCCTTCGTAGATCCTTCAAGATCGAACCACCCATCTGTACCCTTTACAAACACAAGCATGCGAGGAATTACGACGATTACAAGCTTGCTGGAAATTATGTCCTGTCATAATTCTTATTCTGTAGAATACAGAATAGCGCTGTAAAAGGGCTAACCAAAGCTTTATCTACCTATAATATCCTCAGTTTACATTCTACCGTAAATAGGTCGCTTCGCTCTCTTTTGATAAAGAGCGGACAGAGTTTGTATACTCTCGGAAGCTAACTTCCTCTAGCGCAAGGTGCGGAGTGACCCCGTCACAGTCAAAGATGACAAGTTGCTAGGCTATTTAAGCAATTCGACTCAACAAGAAATTCAAAAGGGAGCACAATTTATGGTTTGGTAACACTTATCTCCTCAATCGACGGCTTTAACGTGGAAGCCAGGATCAGAGGGCCAGTTTTTGGGATGCTTTAGTTTTGACACCAGCCGCAAATTAGGCTCACTGTACCCTTGAATGAACATCGATAGTGACAATAAAAGGCGCTCGAAAATGAAAAGACGTCTAAACTGGCGTAAATACACGTTTTTTTATAAAAACGTTTTTATTCCCACTGCCAGGATGGGGGGGGTCTGTATTGCCCGGTTCGGGATCAAAACGCTACACGCTGTGAAAGGAGCGTCCGCGCTGTGTTTGACGCAGTGCTGCAAGCTGCGTTCAATGTCGAGATCATCATTTCCGAGACGTCAGGTAACATTACAGATCGCGAGGACGACGAAATGAACGTCTCGCAGATGTGACTAGTGTCCCAGACCAGCCGAGGTGTCCCTGTAGAGAACGATTTGGTGCATTTCACAGAGTACTTTAATACAGGGAGTGAGTGATAAGAGCGGCAGAGACTGCTACGCGGTCACATCCACAGACTTTGTAGACGAGGACGAGCTGCATCCGTACAGACCGCGGGAGCGCGTTCGACGACACCATGTTGGTGTCGTACCTGGCTGGACACACCGAAGCAGAAAGCTGAAGGCGTGGCATCGTCCTCATACGCTGGGCCTGCACGAATATCCATCACACGAAACTCAACATCTCGCACGGTGCCGTGATGGACCCGCGAGAGACGTCGATTCGATCACAGGGCACGTACCAGGTGTTTCAACTGCCTCTAGGTCTACCTACATAAAAGGCGTGCGTACAGTAATAGAATTTATGATTACGCTCGTTTTTTCTTCTTCTTTCCATCCGAGTGGTAACTACCTGTTTTCTATTTCGCTGGAACACAATGGTCCTTGTCACTTGCGCTTCAGCTTGATCGTGCACAAGCGCCATCCGTTCTGGTTTCGTCGACGAGCTCCAAGTTGACAGGCTCAAACTGCACGATGAACGAGTCTGTCCCCACTTCACGACGCTGTGACGGTATCGCAGACCTGGTAAACGTCGTAGAGTCCGACATGGCAGCCACGTCTCCGACTCGCGTCGCCACGATGGCGCTTGGATCCTATGATCATTCCGACGCAAGTGACAGCGCGCGGGGGCCAATGAAAAAGAAACGCATCTACAAGAAGCGTAAGTCCACGCACGCGTTACGTAAAGAGGAGAAGCGGGTGTTGCAAGCGGAGGTCGCTGCATTGCAGGTTAAACTAAAGAACCTCGAGCTGCAGACGCTCGTGCGTCTCGGTGGGGACGATACTGTGCTAAATAACAAAGCGGCGCACAACGTCGTGCTGCGTGATCTTGTCCAAGAGCAGCACTTGGCGGTGGCCCATGCTCAAGGAAAGTTAATGAGTTGCGCACAACGATACTCGTACCAAACGCGTCCAACAAAAATGTTTATTCACTTGTTAGCTGATCGAGAAGAGCGGCTCGAGACGCTGAAGGCGGTTAGAGGACCCAAACTTTATTATGCCAGAAGGTTTATCCAGCATCGCAGTTTAGGGATGCATCCTACCGCTGAATATTTTCACGAAGAGAGATACGAAACGCCGGAAGGAGACTACTGCAATGTCCGCTTCGATCGTGTACCTTTACGAGGTGTAAAGGGCGGGATTCGAGCAGTGTTGGACGCATTGAAATACGCTGCTTTCAACGCTGAGATTATCATATCCGAGGCTTCGGGGAACCTTACGATCCGGGAAGACGACGATGTGATCGAGGAGGAATGCTCTCAATTACGCTTAGTAGCCAGGACATGTCGAGGCTTTCTGGTAGAGAATAACCTCGTCCATTTTACTGACTTCGCTCATACTGAAGAGGGAAGTTATGCTGTGACTGCCGCAGATTTCGTGGATGAGGATGAGCTCTATCCGTATCGTCCTCAGGAACGCATCCGGAGCGATACCACATCAGCAGTTTTAGTGACGTCACACGCTGATCCGGTTGAAGCTGATATCAATGGAGAACACACATTGTCCAAAGAAGAAGCATTGTGATCACTCGCTGGGCGTTTACCAGGATCTGCCATTCCGAACTGGACGTGCCTCTCGAAACACTCCAGGAGATGCGGGATTTATCCGGACGAGTTTCCCAAACGATCTTAAATTGTGTCCGGGAATCAGTGGGGCTGCCTAAGCAATCTTATTAAGAATTTTTTTCTTATTCTTTTAAAACGCTTACCGAGTGTATATATAACGTCGGCTGCCATTGAAGCATTCGCGAGATGGCAGCATTTCCCAGCATATCGAAACACGTTGGGTCTCCAAGCCTTGTTTAGAGAAGGACGACACGTCATGTAAGCGCGGTCAGTGAGGAAAGATGTCACAGCTAGTAATGTGTCTGTCCTGAAGTAAGGTTTTTGTTTTAAATTAGTCAATCAAGCAAAAAATGTTGTCTCACTCCGGCCGTATTTTACGGTAGGGTGTACCACTAGGATGTCGTCCACATACAGGCAGACCGACAACAAACCGTTAACAACAAACACGCAAAAATTTGCGTACGAATGTATATAATATATACATTCGCAGCGAATAAATATTATTATAATAATATTTATTAGGGTGTACCACTAGGATGTCGTCCACATACAGGCAGACCGACAACAAACCGTTAACAACAAACACGCAAAAATTTGCGTACGAATGTATATAATATATACATTCGCAGCGAATAAATATTATTATAATAATATTTATTAGGGTGTACCACTAGGATGTCGTCCACATACAGGCAGACCGACAACAAACCGTTAACAACAAACACGCAAAATTTGCGTACGAATGCATATAATATATACATTCGCAGCGAATAATTATTATTCTGAGACCGCGTCTAACGAATTGTAACTAATGAACCTAAGTACGAATCACAATTTAAGGCTACCACTCGATAGATGGACGTCTTATCTATCCACAGAGCACTCATACATCCAATTTGGTGAAGGTGGGGCTGAGAACGAGGCCATCAAAAAATTTATCTCGATGTCGAATATGAAATGACAAAATTTTTTTATTGTTGTACTAGACGTAAAATTTAGCGAGGAATCGATTGTTGGCAGTCTTGTGCGCTAAATCACACTCTGAGATGATAAAATTGCGATAGAGTGGAGTGGGCTCAAATTTTTGGGGGTATATTTTGACTTTTTCTCTGAATTTAGACTTTTGGACACTAGTATCATTTTGTTTTGTCAAAACGCTCACACGACATTAGCAACATTTTCAACTAACTTTGTGGAGGTTGCCACGAGACTTCCCTAATTACCCCTCTGCAGTTTTTCGGCTCTTTGTCCCTCGATTGGACTGTGCGGGACCAGCTTTTCGCTTCGTCTTAGTTGTAGTTGTAGCTGGAGTTGGTTTTTCGGGCGATGGCTCGGGATGGTCTTCAACTTCCTCTTTTCCTCGTTGATCTTCGTGATTTTTTGCAGCTATTGCCACTGCCGTACGGTGGAGACGCCGGGCTTGCCTGTTTGCTTTGGCATCATCTCCTTGTTACGCAGTGGCTTCGCGTAGAGAGGGTCGTCGCTAAATTCAGGGTCTAATTGACTGATAGAGCTGAGCGATCTTTTCCGCGTTTGGTACCAGAGGGGGGAGGTACTCAATGTGGTCGATCATGATGCGCATCACCTTTATTTCGGTGTGAAGATGCCATCATGATTCCCGCACTTGTCAGCGTTGATAATCTTAGTGACTCGGGTATGTAGATCGCCGTCGAACAAAACGTTGCTTATGTCCTCCTCTTCCTCTTGACTTGGAGCGCTAGCTGTAGACACTGACGGCGCCGACTCAACGTCGCTGTCCACTGTATCAGAAGCGGCAGAAAAAGCTCTCTTCGCTACTTTCCTCGTAGTCGTCACTCTCACAGTACTCGCTTGCCGACGGAATAAGGCGCACACCTTCATCCAAATCGACGCTAGTCTCGTCAAAAGCGACGGCACGGACAGGTGCATCTTCGCTGGCGGGAGACGATGGCGCGGGGGGCGAAGCGCTTGTGTCATCCTGCACAGGAGCCTCGCCAGGCGCGCTGGCTTGACGCTGCTCTGACATGAATATATGCTGGTGAGTTCGTAAATGAATGCCGATACCTCCTTCAAAATTCTGAAAATGAAAACTGGTCCGTTTCTCATAAACTCACTTATGTACGATTTTTGAGCTGTCAACTTTGAGAGCGATTATCTCAAAGGCGCGTTAGTAACATTTGTAAATATAATTTTAATATACACATTCGTTCTTTTACTTTGTGCCGGCCCCCCAAAGCGTTTTGCTCTGCTGCCTCGTCAGCTTGGTGCCGATTTCATAATGCATTCGATTTGTCTTGATTAGAAGCGATTATTGGCCAACTTTCAGAGTCTGTGGATGTGATTAGTGGCCAAAATGAAAAAAAGCTGCAGCTTTTTTAATTAGTGTAATACTACATTTAATATGAACACGACTATCGATAATCATTTTAATCTTAAGTACTATTAATACATTAGTATATATAAACAAGAGGGGTCTTCATCAATAATTAATTTTGCTGTTGCATTCCGCCCGTTTGTCTCACTCCGGTCGAATTTTACGGAAGTGAAGAACAAGTCCTACAGTTGAAGACTGCGCTTAACTTAGTTGAGGCCATGGGCGAGCCTACGAACTCCCTCGGTGCTAGGGTCGAGCGACTGGTGGTGGAAGAAATTCACCTTTCACAAGCCGCGTTCATTGACAAAATAGTTCATTGCTTTGCTACGCAACAAGTGCCACCGACCCCTACTCCGATGGGTCTGCCGGACACCTGATACTACTACATCAGCGAGCCTACCACCGCCAATGAGTCCAAGCCAATGAGCAGGATGCCCTATCACCATGTTTTCGGCAGCCCACTCTATTTGGCATGTGTGGTCAGATCTAGTATTGCATTTACTGCCAACCAGTTGTCCCGATATTGTGCTACGCCTCGCCGTAAGACAAGGCTAGCTGCCAAGCATCTACTTCGATGCTTATCCGGGACCCCCGATCTCAAGTTGAAAATTCGCTGTGATCGTGACAGCACTGACGTCGTCACCGACGCCGACTTCGCTAACGACCGACTAGACTGAAAACCCGTGCCCGGATTCCGGCTTTTTAGATTCGGCGCGCCGGTACCGTAGGGCCCTGTCAAACAGGCAGTGGTCGCCTAATCTAGACCGACACCAGTGTTTATCGTCGCTAATGACGGTCTTTAACAGATCGAGTGGATTAAATTAGCTGTGGACGAGCTGCGCAATTCCCTACTCCAGCCAGTCACACTCACGATAAATATAAACATCGTTTCGGTGATACACCCAATCAAGCGCAAAGGATATTCTTATGCTGAGAAAGCGGTGAGCATCCGCGTTCATGCGGCCAAAGATGCGTGGATCAGCCAACCGGTCGCTCGAGTACATCTCAACTGGTGAAAAGGTAGTGGACCTGCTCACAAACCCCTTGTACTCTGATCGGTCACAAGCGAAGCCTGTGCGCTTAGCATGAAGCATTCATACGTGTATCCTACGAGGGGGTGGGAAATTTGAATCTGCGCTCATTTAAAAAGATGCGGTATGAACGGCATCGAAGTGTACGCCTCAGCAAAAGGCAGTAGCTGGAGCTTTGCAAAATGCACGCTGACGAACCTTCGTGGAGTCTTTCGATGCTCGGGCGGTGGGCAGAGAAAATGTTCGAGCTGCAGAAGGCTCCAGCAAAGTCATTTGCTAAGCGTATCATTGAGCCTGAGGCGGCTCTCACGAGTATTGGGGTTAACTTCCTCGGTCGCAAGAAGACCCCTAAACTACCCATGGTCGCGCTCGACTCCTCTGTCGTCGAGATGGTGCTGTATGCTGAAGACCACCACGTGCCCATTTCAAGCCGCTTACTTATGATTCGGGGAAGGCTTCACGCCGATGCTCTTCAAATTCCGCCGATGGAACGTCCAATGTTTACTCATGACGGGTGGATCAAGAACTTTATACGGGGATATGGACTCCGCCATCGTCGCGACACAGACAAAGGGTGAATGATGGTACACGTCTTTCAGGACTGGCTAAAGGACTTGGACAGAGAAAAAGAACGCGCGGGAGGGAGAATTTTCCTTCTACTTGACAATGCATCCGTTCAGACTGCCCCAGAGATCACACTGGAGCCCGTTGGGCTTCTATTTCTACCCCGAATACGACAGCTGCAATTTAACCAATGGATCAGGGTGTAATTGCATGGCTTAAGAGGCGCGTTCGGCAAGAGTGTGGTGAGGAGGCGGTATGGAAACTGTGCTGCGAAGAAGGCCCTTTCTTGATTGAAACATCGGACGCTGTCAGGCGGTGCTTGTACATTAAAGCCTGTTGGAGGCACGCTGGTCTTTATGTCGATAGGTCTCAGATTAGTGACATCGTTAACCCCTCGGTTACCAGAAATCGAGTGTCGAATCAGCTTAATTTACGTCGTAACTTTCGACTTCATTTTATTATAAATGTTTGTATTGATGTGCCTTTCCCACGTCAAGATGCACTGGATTCCCGCTATAAACTATTACTGGTTTTTCTGGGCTACGTCGTCAGAGTTACGACTTTGGATCCGCGTCATATCCTAGCAAACCAACACTTACGACTTACAAGCCGTTCTTTGTCGATATCAGATGTTTTCTTGCACATCAATACTGCTTCTGATCCAACAAAACATGAGCTATGAAAGTCGTTATGATGTCCTTTGAACAACAGAACATGGACTACGATAACGAAAGCTGATGTGCAGTGCAACGAGCTCATACGTTTGCTGATTGCTGAGCAGGCTGTTCATCTTTATTGTCAGCTTCGCCGGCTTCGTGACCGAGCAGCTCACGACGTGTTGGCTTGCGTGTGCCAATCTTGCCCGATCACCGCAGAACGACCCGCTTACCAAGCGATGTTGGAAAAGAGGCTCCGCTGTCAAAGTCCTCATGCCATATTGGGTAACACGTCTTGCGCACACCGCCGTACAAATGTCGCGACTTAGGACAAAGGAAGCACTTCGCATCAGTC